GCTCATGGACTCTGGCTCTATGCATGTTTTTTATCATTGCATTTCTTAATTCTCTAATCTGTGTTGGAAAAATTAAATTAAATTAATTTGAACTAAAAACGGGACCAAAAACAAAACTGGGACAAACGTGATCCTCGACACTGGGAGCATTCTGCTGCTGACCTCCGACCTCACACTTGTCCTTGGGTCACATGACACCGAAGCAGGACGCACAAAAACATACAACTACACACAACAACTACACACAACAACTACACACCGCGCTGAAAGGGGACACAGGGGTTACTTTGCATATATAGATTAGACATGTGGTTTCTGAATAGCAATTAGCATGTTTAGCTAATGTCGGGGAAACTAATGAGTAGATTAAACACACCGCGGCCATGTGTGCGGCGAGATTGTTTCATGTTTGTGCGGAATTCCAATTATTGTTCATGGAAGAATGGAATGATGAATCTCCGGGAGAAGTACACACACTGCAAGACTGAAACTAATACACACATACACGGAGCCGTTAGCATCACTTTAGCTGTTAGCTGTAGCCTGTCTGTTATCCCTCTCTCAATTAAGATTAAGATTGAGATTAAGAGACGCTTTATTCGTCCTACAGTGGGGAAATGTCAGTGTTGCATCACAAGTTACAGAACAGTAGGAAAGAGGAGCACACAGCACAAGAAACATGAATGAAAAAACAAAATAACTTCCTTAACTTTTGCTATAATAAAAAAGCTAGTATAACATCTCTATCTTTAGCATTAGCATAATAAAGAAGCTAGTATAACATCTCTAGCTTTAGCATAATAAAGAAGCTAGTATAACATCTAGCTTTAGCATAATAAAGAAGCTAGTATAACATCTCTAGCATTAGCATAATAAAGAAGCTAGTATAAAATGTCTAGGAGGGTGTAAGTGAACCAACTGCTTGTTAGGCCTGAGCCCCAACCGGGGTAAGGGCCTATTGCTTTTCCAACAAGTAATGCCTGGGCGAAGCCCAGGCATTACTCGTTGAACTGTTTTAAGTCACAATCTCCGGGCTGCGCCCGGAGATTGTGACTTGCACGCGACGGCACGTGCCCAGACACTGATAAATCCGTGCCGGAGGCACGGAATGGCTTTGTTCCTGCTGTAGTACACAGTGAAATGATTGAAGTCCTATTAAAGGGGGGTTCCTTCAACAGCGAAGCCCGGACATTCGTCCCCCAAGCCCGACGGCGCGTGCCCAGACACTGACAAAACAGTGCCGGAGGCACTGAATGGCTTTGCTCCTGCTGTAGTACACAGTGTAATCAATGGGGTCCTATGGGGGGGGTGGGTGACCTCATGATGGCGAGGTGATTGACGAGCGCGTCAGCGCTCGTCAATCACCGAGAACCCAATAGTTGCGTTTGCCTCGTCGTTCGCTTTAAAACGACGTATCATTTGTATTATAGGTTACTATGGAAACCATAGTTATTTATTTATTTTTTCTTCTGCACTTTGAACCTTAATTTGACCCCCTGAACATTGATGAAAAGTTGTGAAATTTTGCCCAAAATTCAGAACCGGTGAAAAATTAATTTTTTTGGTGTTTATTTTTATGTCTAAAAAAATGTCAGAATAGCGCCCCCTACAAAAGTCAGTTTACATTGCGCCTATGGGAGCGGGTCGAAGGTCAAGTTTGTTGTAAAGCCACGAAATTCGGTACACATGTTCCGCGGGTCAAGACATGAAAAAAAAGTTATTATGGCTCCGCCCCCTGACAAACAGGAAGCTCATTAATTTAATTGGAATATGGAAAAATGAAAATTGATCTTTTTCACACATGTCGGCTGGAAATTATCTCCTCCTCGGCCGCTTCACCGATTTGTCTCAAAATCGCTCCACATGGTCTAAACCCATGTCCCATCTATTATTGAATATAGAATTGGGATCAATTAAACGTTGTCCGAGCAGCGGAGCGGCAAAATGTGACATTTTTTTGGGGATTTTTGACAAAAGTAAATTTGCTCCCGTTTGCACAAACAAAGCCGGATTTGCACCAAATTTTTATCCATTGTTCAGCTCCACGGTCTAGGTCATTTGAAAGTTAAAATATTGAAATTGACTTATTAGCGCCCCCTACAGACTATGTCAAAGTTTTACATGGGCCTAATAAAATTTAGTTTTTTCAAAATGTTTGAAATTTTGCACATAATTCTGTTTTGTCATCTGGATTAAAAAAGTCAATGACAACATATGATTATTTTTTACCCTGTTGCCGTGACGACGACCAACACTCCCCTGTCTGTGTCTATGAGAAAATTGTTAAATCTCTGAAAAGTACACCTCGCTCAAACATCAAACCAGCCACGACCGTTTCACTAATTTGTCTGAAAATCGCTCCACATGGTGTCCACACATGGACCATCAATATTTGCATATAGAATTTGAATTAGTCAAACGGTCTCAGCGTGACAGACTCCCAAAGTGTGGTTATTTTCATAGAGAGGTGTGAAGTTCCCATGTTATCCAATAGAGACTGTGTGTGGACACACACACAGATTATATGAACAAACAGGAGCACATTTACAAACTCTGATTTGCACTAAACTTGACTCGGTTGTTCAACTCCTGGGCCTAGGTCACATGACAGTGTGAACAATGACATTGTCCCATTATTGCCCCCTACAGGCTGAGTAAAGGCTTACATGGGGATACAGGTATTTAGGTTTTATGTTGTTTGATCTCAAATTTGACCTACATAACAAACACAAAAACTCACCAAACTTTGCCACAAGCTTTTTTCAGGCATAAAGTGTATTATTTTGGTGTTCTTTGGTATAACACTACAAAAATTAAATTGTACGGGGCGCTGTTGTACAACATTAAATGCCACCATTTGCACATACAAAGTCCGATTTGCACAAAATTTGAATTGATTGTTCAACTCTCGGGTTTGGGTAAACTGAAAGAGTTAAAGACGAAATTTCTGCATTAGCGCCCCCTACAGACTGAGTCAAGTATTACATGGGGAGAATGAGGTTTACCTTTTCAAAGACACACACAATCACTGATCATAAGCATTCAAAATGCACAGTGTCGCTCCCATCAGGGGGGTAGGAAAATGGCGCGTCAGGCGAGGGCCGTTAGATGCCGCTTGCGGCTTTAATTTACGTTTGTTACTGCTGCATTACTGTGTTTAGTCTGTTGTTGGTGAATCAATCATATTTTAAAGTCCTCTGAGACGACTTTAGCGATTCATAAAAACAAATTGAATTGAACTGAAGAAAGTCTCATGGGGCAGAACAAAACCATATTCATTACAAACACGACTTCAACACGTCTCCAAATGTATTTTAGCAGCTTTGTTATTATCACACAATCTACAAACATTATGCAGATTGTAGAAGGATAAAAATGCTGATTGGGAGCGACCATAAAAGAATTGTTTTGATTCTGAATTTACTGCTAACTGTATCGCCTTAAACACGGCGAGAGGTGATAATACAGTGGTTAATACATTATAATTATAGTTATTATAATTATAGTTATAATACAGTGGTTAATACATTATGAGAGGTTATAATACAGTGGTTAATACATTAGAATATGAGTGTGTTCACAGTAAAGTGACAATTCAAGTATCTGGACTTTAAAAGGTTATAACTTAAAAACTAAAATTACTGGAAAATTGGAAGAAAGATTTCAAACACAGACACATTGAAGAGATAGTGTGGAAAAAATCAAAAGGAAAGATTGACATAAAAATGTTTAGCAACATTTTAAACGACCAAAGCAGCCTCTGATTGGACCATTCTACTGTGACTCAGTTACATAGAAAATAAAATGTCCTCAGTCTGAAAAAGCAGAAGATGAAATCCCACAGATTTACATGGTTAACACAACAGAAGGGAATCACTTCATATAAAAAGGAATTGTAAAAAAAATAAAAAATAATGTATTAATTAAATGACCCCTGAAAAATGTATAACGGACGTGATGAGGACGGTCCTCTTTTCTCTAAAAATTAAACTTGAGAAAAAAAAAATCTGGTCTGTTTTCACATTTAATTGCTTGACAATATGAAAGTATCACTTTGCATCTACTTCGTGTAAAAAAGTAGAATCTCTGAATCAAATGTGGATCTGAAAATACCATAAAACTTCCACAAAGCTCATTCCGTCAAATCATCATCGTTACATAAAATAAACAGGGCTGCTATAGGAAACTTGTCTAATGTATAAAACAGTTTTGTTCTAGAAACTTCTAATGAACAGAGGAGGTGTTTGGAAACATGAAAAACATAAAATATCTTCTGATTATTAAAATCAAATTTTTGGCCTTTTGTCACACTTTTGTGCCCTTTAGTGTGAACAAGCCCAGATACCAAAACTTACAATATCATTTAAACATTCATTTCCGTAACTCAATTTAAAAGGTGCAACCAATATAAGAGTCAGACTTATCACATGCAAAGTGACCATTTAACTCTTGATTAGTTTTGGAAATTCAGGCAACAATGGATTTCGTGTAAAGATAAATGTGATCAAAGCAGAGCTGTATGCCACTCAAGAATATCGTCATAGCAACTAGATGTAGTACGTTTGGTTAGAAATGCCCTGTTGTTCTGTAGTAACTATAGAGATTTCTCGCGTGACGTCACAAGGGGCTAGAAGTTGCGAGGTCTCCACCATGTTGGAAGACAAGCAGACGCTGTATATGACCGTGGCGTGCACCCGGGACCGTGGCGTGCACCCGGGACCGCATAAACATGTTCACAATGTGTGTCGTTTTTAGCTGCAGCAAAAGGAGAGACAGGGAAAGTAAGTTGTGTTACCGACTGCCGTCCTCACACGGCTCCAAAACAGAAGAAATCTCCAAGAAACAAGAGACCACAAAAACAGCCTCCAGAGCGTTTGAATAAACTCAGTTAGATGCTTTTGGTGGATTTAATGTTTCATGTTTTTAATTTAACAATCAGAAGTTTAAGGATAATATAGACTATCACTGTCTGACTGCAACGTGGGGTTGCTCTCTTACAGGACCTCAGCTCACAGGGCCTCAGCTCACAGGGCCTCAGCTCACAGGGCCTCAGTTCACAGGGCCTCAGTTCACAGGGCCTCAGTTCACAGGGCCTCAGTTCACAGGGCCTCAGTTCACAGGGCCTCAGTTCACAGGGCCTCAGTTCACAGGACCTCAGTTCACAGGACCTCAGTTCACAGAGCCTCAGTTCACAGGGCCTCAGCTCACAGGACCTCAGCTCACAGGACCTCAGCTCACAGGACCTCAGTTCACAGGACCTCAGCTCACAGGGCCTCAGCTCACAGGGCCTCAGCTCACAGGGCCTCAGCTCACAGGGCCTCAGCTCACAGGACCTCAGCTCACAGGGCCTCAGCTCACAGGACCTCAGTTCACAGGACCTCAGCTCACAGGACCTCAGCTCACAGGGCCTGGCGAAGGCCAGCAGACGTGTGAAGGACTGAGCTGTGCCCAGTTCTAGTTTTTATGAATCAGATACAGCTCCTCAGCAGCAGAAGAAAGATTTGAATGTTACAGGATGTATGCAGTCCATGTTCAGTCCACGTTCAGTCCATGTTTAGTCCACGTTCAGTCCATGTTCAGTCCACGTTCAGTCCATGTTTAGTCCACGTTCAGTCCACGTTCAGTCCACGTTCAGTCCACGTTCAGTCCACGTTCAGTCCACGTTCGGTCCACGTTAGGTCCACGTTCAGTCCACGTTCAGTCCACGTTCAGTCCACGTTCAGTCCACGTTCAGTCCACGTTCGGGTCCACGTTCGGTCCACGTTCGGTCCACGTTCGGTCCACGTTCGGTCCACGTTAGGTCCACGTTCAGTCCACACGTTCAGTCCACGTTCAGTCCACGTTCAGTCCACGTTCAGTCCACGTTCAGTCCACGTTCAGTCCACGTTCAGTCCACGTTTAGTCCACGTTCAGTCCATGTTCAGTCCACGTTCAGTCCACGTTCAGTCCACGTTCAGTCCACGCTCAGTCCACGTTCAGTCCACGTTCAGTCCATGTTCAGTCCACGTTAAGTCCACGTTAAGTCCACGTTAAGTCCACGTTAAGTCCACGTTCAGTCCACGTTCAGTCCACGTTCAGTCCACGTTAAGTCCACGTTCAGTCCACGCTCAGTCCACGTTCAGTCCACGTTCAGTCCATGTTCAGTCCACGTTCAGTCCACGTTCAGTCCACGTTCAGTCCACGCTCAGTCCACGTTCAGTCCACGTTCAGTCCATGTTCAGTCCACGTTAAGTCCACGTTCAGTCCACGTTCAGTCCACGTTCAGTCCACGTTCAGTCCACGTTTAGTCCACGTTTAGTCCATGTTTAGTCCATGCTCAGTCCACGTTCAGTCCATGTTCAGTCCACGTTCAGTCCACGTTCAGTCCACGTTCAGTCCACGTTCAGTCCACGTTCAGTCCACGTTCAGTCCACGTTCAGTCCATGCTCAGTCCACGTTCACAGTCCATGTTCAGTCCACGTTCAGTCCATGTTCAGTCCACGTTAAGTCCATGTTCAGTCCACGTTCAGTCCATGTTCAGTCCATGTTCAGTCCATGTTCAGTCCATGTTTAGTCCATGTTCAGTCCATGTTCAGTCCATGTTCAGTCCATGTTCAGTCCATGTTCAGTCCATGTTCAGTCCATGTTTAGTCCATGTTCAGTCTATGTTTAGTCCATGTTCAGTCCATGTTCAGTCCATGTCCATGTTCAGTCCATGTTTAATCCTGTGTCAGTGACTTTTCGCTGACTCTGCTCTTTCTCACCTCTCGTCCTCTGACTGACCTCGATACAGAACCCTCCACCCCCCCCCCCCCCCCCCCCGCTGCTCGATGATCCAGTCTATACCCTGCACTCACTTAAACATGTACAGTAGAGTCACCCTCTGCTCAAAGAGAGAGAGAGACCCCACGCAGAGAGAGAGAGACCCCCCGCAGAGAGACTGTGGTGCTCGGATTAAGATATGTCCAAGAGCTGCGGTCTTGGAATCTTGGTTTAGAAAAGTGGAACATTTTATTGCGTCAGAGAAAAGTGTTTAATCTGGGCCCATTCATCTTTGATCGTCTTTGTTTGGGACCAGGCCACGAGAATCTCTGATCCTGAATCTACAACTGTGCAAAGGCCTCCGAGACCACTGCTGTTGTGGTTTCAAGATGGAATTGAAATTGAAATTGGAAACCCGCCCAGACACAGAGAGATAGACAAACATATAGAATTTGTTGAATGTATGTCCTCAATTGACCCAGTGACCTACTTTCTGTGTGGGCGTGGCTACACACCGGTGCGCAATATTAATAAATGGCCCTCTGCTTGACACTTGTGAAGAACGCATGAAGCCAAACTGAACCTATGTCTCTGCGTTAAGTTATTCCTCTGTCACTCCGGTATTTCACTCTTTTACGGCGATGGCTGCGCCAACAGGTTATGGGCCCAGTAAAGAGTTTGGAAACCGATGGAACCGATTATGTTTTGACGGAGATGAAAAGAACTATGAATTGTGGGAGACTAAGTTTCTGGCACACTTACGTCTGATTGATCTCAAAAGCACCATACTGAGTCAAGCCCCCGCGGCAGGTGCGGAGAATGCCGTGGAAGACGCCAGTAAGAATGAAGAGGCGTACGCAGTTCTAATTCAACTATTGGACGATAAAGGTTTGTCTCTTGTAATGAGAGAAGCCGCTGATGATGGCAGAAAGGCGCTGCAGATCCTCCGTGATCATTACGCAGGCAAAGGGAAGCCGCGCGTAATAAGTTTGTACACGGAGCTGACATCTCTTCAAAAAGGAGTCAATGAGAGCGTCACGGACTACATTATCCGTGCAGAGACTGCTATCACGGCGCTACGTAATGCAGGAGAGACACTGAGCGATGGGTTATTGACTGCAATGATATTAAAAGGCCTGCCTGAAGTGTACAAACCATTTTCTGTTCACATTACACAGAGTGATGATACACTGACATTTGCAGAGTTTAAAACAAAACTCCGAAGCTACGAGAGCACAGAAAAGTTTGGAGCTTCTGGTTCGGGAGAAGACAGTGTCATGAAAGTTGGAAGACAAGAAAACTGGAGCGCAAGACTCACCTGCTACACCTGTGGCCAGAAGGGGCACAAAGCAGCGGAGTGTGCGTCAGCTGCTGGGGAGCGCCGGGAGCTGAGGCAGTGGTGCAGCTTCTGCAGGAGTTCTACGCACAAAGACGCGCACTGTCGGCGTAAACAGTGGGACAAGGTGAAGCAAGCGGTGGATGAGGAGGACCACACATTCGCGTTCAAGCTTGAGGATGCTCCGATCGGTGGTGTCAAAGTGAAAGGTCTAATGGTTGACTCGGGAGCGACGAAGCACATCATCACGGACATCGGAAGATTCGAGGAGTTTGACCCATCTTTTAAACCTCAGAGCCACATTCTGGAGTTGGCTGATGGAGAGCGCGCCAGTGGTATTGCGCAAAAGAAGGGCACCGCTAAAATCCGTCTGAGAGACAGTAAAGGCCGTGTCGTGGAGGTGAAGCTGATGGAAGCGCTCTACGTTCCATCATTTTCACAGGACATTTTTTCTGTTAAAGCGGCTACAGCGCAAGGAGCCACCGTCATCTTCAAAGAAGGACAGAACCGTCTCATCCATAAAAACGGTACAAGTTTTGATATTCAAATGCATGACCGACTGTTTTATTTGAGTATTGTTCACAATGATACTGATCAGTGCAATGTGTGTTATGACCTTAATACGTGGCATAAAATATTAGGTCACTGCAATTATGATGACGTGTTAAAATTGGAAAGGGTTGCTAAAGGAATGAACATTAAAGATAAGGGTGAAACTGCTAATCTGACATGTGAAGTGTGTATAAAAGGAAAGTTTGCCCAAAATAGAAGTAGAGAAGATGATGAAAAAGCAAATGTTATTTTACAACTTGTTCACGCAGATTTGGCTGGACCAATAGAGCTTGCAGCAAAGGATGGCTTTAGATTTGCTCTAGGATTTACTGATGACCATTCTGGAGCTGTGTTCACATATTTCCTTAAAGCCAAAAGTGATACTGTTGCTGCTACTGAGAGGTTCATTGCTGATGTATGGAGGACCAAAAATGACTAAAGTATAAATAAATAAATAAATACAGGAATATATTAATAAATACATTCATTTTGGACAATAAAAACTAAATATTTACATTGATGTGTTAAATATTACTATGAAATCAAATAAATATACTTTTATTTAGGTTATTTATCAATATCTACATTTTTTCCTTTATTTATTTATCCATTTATTGCATATATTTATTTATGTATTTCTACATTTCTTCATTTATTTATTTATGTATTTCTACATTTCTTCATTTATTTATTTATGCATTTCTACATTTCTTCATTTATTTATTTATGTATTTCTGTGTTGCCGTATGCTAATTAGGTGGGCGGTGCTGAACTCAATGATTGGTGGGCAGTAGGGCAACCAGACAGAAGCAAAGTTAAAAGCGTACATCGACAGAGAAACTGGGGACAACTAGTTGAAGGCGGCTTTTGGCGACTGAGAGGAGATGATGGAGATGATCAGTTGCGCGATGTGAGCGCTCTTACAACTGGAGATAAACAGTCGGTCTCCAGTTTCAGTCAGTTGCCCGTGTTCTACTTTTCGGCAACTAGTTGTCCTCAGTTTCGGAGATATGACCCGATGTGCGCGCTCCATGCGCCGCTCCGACAACGTGTGTGTATTGCGTGTATAGCGCCCTCTACAGTTTATGTCAGAAAACACACTGTAGTTGAGGCCAGTTGCTGTCGATGTACGCGCTGTTATTCCGAGACTGGTCTGCTACTGGGAGTTGCCCGTTTTTGTCAGATTGTCGATGTGTGCGGGGCAGCAACTCATATGCGACGGATATAATCAGTTGCCAGTCCGATGTACGCTAGGCTTTTAGCCTTCTCGGTTTGTGAGAGGATGTGAAGCTGCTGCTTGTTGAAGAGCGTCCAGCACAGTTGCATCAAAGTCTACCTCTGGGTCAGCACTGTGATGAACTAAAACATCTATAGTCTTTCCAGCCGAAAGAGTAGGTGCATTATGCTCAACATCATTACCATCATTTGCTAATGCTCTTAATTGATGAGCAATGGCTCCTAAAAAACTTACATTCGAAACTGCCATCATACCACACAAAAGTGCACAGAGGATCTCAAGCTAGAGGCAAGGAATGATCGAGACCAGAGTTCACGCAATCCTAACCAATCCTGTTCTAGATTGAGTTCAGCACCGCCCACCTAATTAGCATACAGGAACACAGAAATACATAAATAAATAAATGAAGAAATGTAGAAATACATAAATAAATAAATGAAGAAATGTAGAAATACATAAATAAATAAATGAAGAAATGTAGAAATACATAAATAAATAAATGAAGAAATGTAGAAATACATGAATAAATAAATGAAGAAATGTAGAAATACATAAATAAATAAATGAAGAAATGTAGAAATACATAAATAAA